ATCTCCTGCAGCATGTATCAGTTCGTGTGCCGACACACCTCCATGACATGCAACACAAGACTGTCTAGAATCTTCTCTCGTTGTCTTTCTCTATACCTCCTTCCACAGATCTTTTCAGTGGTCACAACATGTTCTATTTTCCCTCTTCTCATAACATGGCCGAAAATTGATGACTGCCTCCTTCTGATGCCTGTGATAAGTTGTCTTCGAGCTCCCGAAGTATAGTAAAGGGGTATGAAATGAACACCAATAACACAAACATGAGCAGAAATGTGAAATAATGAGGAAGCTACCACAAGCTTCAAGGCAGTAAACTACCTGCTAGTTGGTACCTGATATTTAACCTAATTCACTTAAAGATGAACCAGTTTAGGAAATCTTAACCTCTTTTGAGACTGATTAAGAGAAGAAACATTGAAAAACTTTGTATATAAATTAACTGTCAGCTTTTCAGCAAATATTCATCTGATTGGAATGGAAACTGGCTGTAGTCATTCCACCATTTACAGCTTCTTCTGGTCTTTATCCCCGAATGGAGGACAGGCCCTCAATTAACCAACTCATTCATCCTGTCATTTGCTATTGCATGCAGCTCATCCCATGTCCTCGCTACCTTTTAAAATTCACTCTTTAGTTCCTGTATCCATGCATTTTGTTTGTCTGCCTTTATTCCTATGCCCAGTGGGTTCCAGTATAAAGATGTTCTAGTTACACTGTTCTCAAATTTTATCAACATGTGTCTTATCTAATGCCAGGATCTTTTCTTCATCTCTTGATTCCCTGAGATTTGTCTAGTTCTTTCCCAAACCTCAGCATTAGTGATTCTATAGTAAACCATATGCAACTCAGACCATTAACTATGCAATTTTGAGGTTCATAATATAAAGTGATAGCATGTGGGAAGGCAGTTTATGTCAAATGAAACTGCCGAACTTTACCTTTTAGTTAAAACATTTCTTTATACAGTACTGCCTTAAAGCACTGACCATCATTCTTGTTCTATGGCACCAGTTGCATGCATTGCCAACAATTTATGATGTGCTATCGTCCACCATCTTCCCTATACAACCTTCCCTTTAACTTATCTTGTAGTCATGACAGATTCAAGTATAACCCTCCTCCTCCTGTCATGGCCAAAAAAATGGGGTATTGCCCACTTGTGTCAGGAGTAACAGTTTTCAGCTGTCTCTTTGCTTAGGTAGGTGGTGAATGCCATCCACAAAACAGGATTATGGTTGCTCACTTTACCAAGTGTTTACTGCATAGGACGATAAGCATGTTCTCTTTTATTCAGTGGTCAGTACTTATCAAATGATGTCAATTATCACTCATCATGTGCCAATGATGATCCCCTTCTATACTTTGACAAACTGGTGCTGTATAATTTACTTTCACAACTGATATCTCTCTACCTCTAACACAGACATTTTGTGTGTCTTCACATATTAATTACTATTATTTAAGAAGAAAAAATACTTGCTGTGGGCACTTTAAAAAACACACACAAACTTCAAACCATTCAAGCTCACTGATCTGCCCCCTCTGGACTGCTACCCAAAGGTTTACCATATCATCCTGAGATTTAAAAAAATCTCCTTCTGACCAGCAAGGCAGATTACAGATTCCCCTTTCAACCTCTAAATAAGTCACAATTAGGGCACCCATAACCGCTCACCAGCTGAGTGTACACTGCAGGCCTATGAGGGCTAGGATGATATAAGCTCATGATCTGTGTGTGTGTGTGTGGGGGGAGATACTCAAAAGCACAAACAATGTTCTGCTGTTCACAAGTCACTGTAGCAACTTGTGACAGATCACATCAGTTGACTTCTTCTTCTTCTTCTCTTCCACCTTGAACCTCATCGAAGTGTCAGGGGGAGATGTAATGTTCGTTGATGAACTCTGTCAAGAGCACTACACCAGTTGACACTCACTCCAAATTTTGATAGGACAAGCGTCAGGAAGAATCACAACAATCCAGGAGGAAATGTAATCAAAGTGAATATACTGGTTAAGGATGTTGTTATAAACATTGTAATAAACATAACTAGCAATGCTTAAAAAAAAAAGGAAAGAGGGACTAACCTGTGACATGGAGGAAATGTGTTCTTGCTCTCCTATCTAAGATAAAAAGGCCAGGAGAAGCCATAGTTACACTTACAAAACAAAAACAGACATGACACAGAACAACACAGCAGAAACACTCAGACAACAAGGTGCAGTAAAAAGCTGATATGTGACTAGCTATGACGTGAAAAAACAAACATGGCTGCTACCCTGAAGCTACGGGGTATAGATTTACTACGTTTTCAAAACTAAACCATGCAAGAGTCTCACACGACATCTATCTATTTATGTACATACACATAAAATGTGAGATTCATATATCACAAAGGTGTAGATAAAACTATTCTATGTATAAACAAGAAAGAAATATACAGGGAAAAAAAAAAGATATATCAAAGTATCCCCATGATAATGAAAGTAAGAAAATATATGTCTTCCAATGCCAGTAAAGGACAACATTTTCATCTACATGTCTATACAGCTAGAAAATGAAAACTATAAATACAGACACCGACCCAGTCAACAACACCCATATCTACATGACAAACAACACTCAAGCATATTGTCTCATATTATATATAGCAGGTAACAGTTACAAGCGCGATACAGACATTGTATAAATTAGTATTTTACAAGACCCCTTTTCCAAACACAGGCATAAATAGTTAAAGGTGCTGCGGCCTTATATTTGTCATAAACCATGCGGTACTTGCTGGGCGATGTGAGCAATTTCACACCGACTGCCTTTATTTCCCAGAATATTTCCTAGAGCCCATTTTGGCTAGGTCAACCTGGGAGCCAAGGATAATTTTACACACACAAAAAAAAAAAAAACCTTCCTCAATGGGGATTTGAACACATGACCCCTATGCAGAAGGGAAGCATGCTAAACATTTCAGTAAAGAATCCTTTTACAGGCTTTTCAGTGTACTGGGCATGTAGTGCTAGACCTATATTTTGTGGAACAATCAGCACTCAGTGGGTGATGTAGTCAACATGACGCTGGGCACCTTTACTTCCCAAGACGTTACCTGATACCCATTTGAGGCTCTGTCATTCTGGGAGCAAAAGTCATTAAAAAAAATTATCTGGCTGCGCTGAGATTTGAACTCAGTCTCTAGATCTGCAGACTATTGTCTAACCACTATACCAGGTTGGCTCCCACAGAGAATTTAACAAATAAATAAAAACTGTACGCAAGGCAAATAATAAGCTGAAAAATATAATTTGTGCTTATAATAAAAAAGATTTTCATATATCTGTCAGACCTCGCCGCCTGCAAGTGTAACACTGGTATTCAGTCTTTCCTAGCTGTTGCTCACCACACAATAAACAGCCAGCATTCTTGCATAGAACAAATATCCAGCATCCCCAGGGGAAATTACTCTCGTTTAATCATCTCAGGAAGTCAAGAGGACAAAGTAGCTAGAATAAAGATTTAAATCTTTAGTCAGGCAAATGAGTTGTTTTAGAGCAGAAACAACTTCCTCTTCCTCCTATTTCATCAGTGAAGGGAGATGTAAGGATCACCTGTGTGCCCTTTCCAATGTTATAAGCTGGTCTTTATTTCTTTAAAGTTGTTATAGCTGCCCCTGTGCCATCGACTGCTTGTTCTTTCCCCTTCTCTAAGTTCATTATATTTCTTCAGTGAGGCAGTTGGTACCAGAGCATTTTTTTCAGAAGGCCAAACCATCGCATCTGTTCCTCTTTAATGAATTGTATAAATACTTTCATTCCTAGCCTTCTTCTAATTTCTTCACCATGTCATTTTTAATCTTACAGCTCTCCTAAGACATATCTCAGAAGCTACCACCTTACTTCAAGCCTGTACACTGACTGAATGGGCAAGCCAATTTTAGATATTAAATGGCCAACACCAGCTTCAGTACAAATAACACTGTAAATAGCTTTTTTAATAAGCTCTGTTTACATTGAGCATCTGTCATCTCTTTGCAACAAATGTTCTCTTTCTCAACCGTCTGAAGAAATGAAAGACAATATATGATCAATCTACAACTTATCTACATCAAAAGCTATCTGATTACACAGACAGCAGCACTCATGAAATCAGGTGGTATCTATGTAGTGTGGTACCAGACTTTGTGCTCAGAAATGACATCAAACTATTCAACAGGGTCATTTACTTATTATTATTCATACATTTTCCATTTTAAACCGGGCAAACAAAATATGAAAGGTAGCAAAAACTCTCATATATAAACACACACCCATATAAAAAAAAGACAATGATACAATAACATTCAGACAGGTTCCAAACCATGCATATATTCTTCCCATCAATAAACTCCAAAGAATAAGCATTTTACTACAATATATGGCAAACTGAAATAAAATAGATGTATTTTTTTTAATCACAAAAATTAAAACTAAGAGACATATTTCAGAAAAAAAGAAAGTACAAGAATGATATAGACATCACTTCTAGTTACAGCACCATATACACAAATATAAATTCATATTAACAAGAGCTCAGCAAACAAACATTATGCAGTAATGTTGTTTAAAAATACTATTGCTTTATTAGATTGGATTAATGATTCTGTTCCAAATATATCCATAAAAATTGATTTTCTTCAATTTCAATTACAAAAAAAAAAATTGTATGGTTTTTTTTATTACTCTTGAATAAACAAAACTGGACTTTTACAACTGCCTTGATAAATAAACATAATTTGAGACTCTTTATAAAAAAAAAAATATTGAATGACTCGTGAATAAAATTTAATAATAAACTTCCAAAATATTTGTTCATAAAAATGTGCCTAAGAAATAAAGTAGAAAATCACGCCTATCCAGAAGATGTGTTAACCTCTGAATAAGCACTATCCTGTTTAAGAAAGCATTGAAGAAATGAGATCTTTTCTAAAGTAAAGAAGTGAAGGTATGTATAAGAGAACTTCAATAAACATCATTTACTTCTGGAAATAACTGACAATGTGGTTGGCTTTCTCTTCCACATAGTCTCTAACAGGCTCCAAAAATTCTAAGTGCTCCCTAATTGCGGAAATAAACGGGTGTTGTATAGGACTGAAGAACACGAGGTAAAAAAACAGGACTGAGAGCAACAAGACGACTGCCAGCGATAGAAGGACCGACTTCAACCCGCTGCCTGCCTTTCCACTTTTTTTCTTGGGTGATGGAGGTGCTGCTGCTGCTGCCTGGACACTCTGCGGGGATAAATTGAATTCTTTCTGAACACTGGGTTTGATTATCTCCTCCTCCAACATTTTTATCTGCTCATCCAAACCAGGTTTGTTCTCCTCCTCGTCAGATTCCTCCATCGTCCGGTTGGGTTCATACGGGAGGGTCTCATCAATGCTGGTCTCCAAAATGCCAGACCTGTCTCTTACAACCTGCCAGATAAGGATGAGAAAAGATTAGATATAAACTCATCTTTAACTGGCTGCTTCTGATATTAAAAAAGTAAGTAAGGAGCCTTTTTAGGTCACTAATGTTTGACGAATACAAAGCTTCGCCTTCTCTGTATAATTTATGTCATATAGTATCGGTAGTCATGTTCTATCCCCGCCCTTCGGTCTCGTGTATTTTCAATCATTTCCAATACTGATAGGCTCCCATATGCCAGGCTGTAAAACTGTCAAGCATCTTGTTCGTTAGTTTCCCTCTGCTTCTTTTCTCCTCTAGCTTTCCCACCGTCACTATTTACTCCAGTATTCTCTTCCACATGATGTAACCAACACATGTAGACTGTCTCCTCATGATTGGGTAATCAGTTGTCTTAGTGGCTTAATTTCCTTCAAGACATAATTATCCTGATAGGCACATGTTTTCACAGACCACAACACCAAAAGGTGAGGTGGTCAACATCATGCCAACCATCTTTAACCCCCCAGAGTATTTCCCGTTATCCATTTTAGGTATGTCGGCTTTAGAGGCTGGAACATTTTAAACAATTCTACAAAAGTGTGGATTCAAGCCAAAGACTTTCAGACTGGCAGGCAGGCATCAAGCCACTGTGCTATCACTGCTTCTGTATTTTATATTTCCTAACATAAAAATATGTCAACAGTGTAAAAATATATAAAAGCATGTTAACAGCAAGAAAATATATAAAAGTATGTCAAGAGTGTGAAAATCTATAAAATGTGGTTTGTACTGTGAATGGCAGATTCAGAAAATGGCGAGTAGCCTGTTGCCACAGCACTTATGATGCTTTATGCGATTAACTGCGCGTACAACTACTACTTCCATCAATGATGAAATGCATTTCTAGCGTGTGACTGTTTGTGTTGGCACTTCTGACTGCAACCTTATTCGTTTACTGCATGTGTAGGCTATAAGTTTTACTAAGACCGCAGTCTATGTCAATTTTTTGTCACAAGGGGGGACACTGATGGACATTTTTGTGTGGTTTTCGTTGGCACACGAACCAAGCAACTATGGGGTGGCCAGTTTGCTCAGGATTATCTGATAACCTAACTAGCACATACAAGTAAACAGCATCAAGAGATGGATCATACAGGCCCAAGACAGACAGACATTCAGAGAATAAGAGAGAGGTGACCTTCAATACAGAGGTGGCACTGAACAGTGAGGAAAATGTTTTACTATTCTCTCATGAGTGAACACATAACCAGTACAGTGCCAACCGTCCCATAGTCATCTCATGTGACATAAATTGTAGATTAGAATACTATCAGTTTTGTTTCTTTCCTTGTTTCTTAAGGATCCGGGTAGCACATGGGCATAACTATTTTGTAGCCCAATGATAAATCACCTAACACACTGCAGTTTCATGAATGTAGCTGAATTACTCTGTGGCCCAGAGAAAGTGATATTTTGATTCTGCCATCTGCTACAAATCCATGTGGCTTTACCGCCTTGGCCAGTCCCTGATAAGCCCACTTAAAAGTACTGGTTCTGTTTGCACCTGTGCAGTGTTCTGGAGGCTTAGATGATTACATTTATTCAATATAGCCCTTGGAGGTTGTTAGTGAGGAAGGGAAAGGCTTTTGTATGTCACTGTGACGTCGTCATTCTCTATTTAGCCTTGACCACTTATTTGTTTTTGTTTTTTAGTGATGGGGTCATTACAATTATTTTTTTTAGACAAAACAGTTTTAATTTTATTCTCAGCTCTATTCGTGTTTCATTTGACTGAATACTTACCTTAATATATTTCCAAAACGATTACAAAATGTAATTAATAAACTGTTAACAATTTTTGTTTGAATGGTCTATGTAAAATGGTTTGTTGTTATGGGATATGATGGGCAAAACAGCAGCAGACCGACAGCACTAGTGAATGTCTTATGAGTCAGCAATGACATGAGGAGGATAAAGATATATATCAAATCATAGGAGATTCAGGAATATCACCAAAATGAGAAGAAATCACACACAGAGTACCCATCATCAAGCAGGTCTTTTGTAGAACACCGCTCTGTACACGGCACACCTGAAAGTTGATCTTTCTATAGCCAATTCTCCAGTCCTACCTGCTTTTATGGGCAATGCATCTTCAATGTCTTTTTTCCAATTTAATTGAGGTTGGTTATGTGCCTCATTTTCCTGAAACGGCACCACCTATCACCGTTGTCTCAGACCATAATGATATTAAATATGATCAAAATACCTCAACTTTCAGGATAGGATGCTGCTTATGAACAAATTCTCTGTGATGTTTAGATTAAGTATATCTGTGGGTTTTTTCCTCATGGCACATGGTATTTTAAGAATTTTTCTGTAGCATTTCAGTTCAAAAGCTCTGGTTGTTTCTTCATAAACTGAGAGAGTATTACCTGTCCATTTTCTTTGTGCTCCCAGGAGAGTGTAGCTGCAGTGACCACCTTATCAGCTGAGGATTTCAGCACGACCTCTTCCACAACTTCTATCCTTTCTGGTGGAGCTTGAACTCTAGGACCTTGCTGAATGACTTCTTCCGTGCTGGATGTTATTACAGCTTCTTCACTTCCAGTTTTGATAGGACTGTCTGCATCACCTTCTGAAAGTCAAACATGAATCAAAAGATTAGGAAGAATACAACTTAAATGACAATGATTCAGGCATATACAGACAGCTATCTTATCAGATCCTATTGTCTGACTGCAACGCATAGCTTCTTCTTTTTGTCCACCAGCAGTTAACTCTAGAAAGTTCTGGTTATTCATCTACTTCTGGACGTAAGTCTTGATCCAGAACTTGACTGTGGTGTGCACATCTGTTTACAGATCTGGCTCACCGGTATGCAGACTGCTGGTTCCTCTCCTCTCAGATACATGCACTCCAACTTCAAAGGAAACACTCATAATTAGTCATCTCAGAAGATGTGCTTGTCATGGGGCAGAGATGCCCCCCCCCCCCCCCCCCCCCCCCCAATGGTGCCCTAGGACCAACAACGTTTGCTGAAGAAGCAGCCTTTATTGTGCCAAGCTTCACTGACATAGTATTTTTATAGACTCTTCCATGTAATTGACTCACTGTCAATTTGTGTTGTATGCTAATGAAGGTTTTCTAGCCACAATGTTCATTTTGTCCTCATGATTGTATTCTACTGGAAAGCTGACAAGTTCAACTTATCAGAATCTGCACATCACCAGATGCGTGAACATCAGTTTTAAACACATTAGACTTTCATGAAAGTAAACCAGTTAATCTTCAATATTCTAAAAATATGATGAATTGATTTATCTGAGCTGATTTATTGTTTTACAAAACAAGATAAATGAAGCTATTCATGAAATGCTTCTTTTCTAAAGATTTAAGAAACAAAGATAATTGAAGAATGACCACACACAAAAAAAGTGAAATTACAACTGGGTACAAAATATTTTGAATCGTAAATAACATATACTCTAACAAGTATGGAGTTTAATGAACAATACAAAATATACTAAAGGTATGGCTGGCCTATGGATTGCACTGACACGATCCTTAAACAGACAGAACAGTCTGAGGATTTTAGGAGCACCGTGTCCAAATTAATGCTAAGAATACGAGAATTGGTAGTAAAGAACAGTATTTGTGAAAATGATATCCAGAATAGTGTACGAGTGAGAACTATATAAAGTAAAGGACCCTTTTTCATGCCTTCAGGTGTACTGGGCACATAGGGCTAGACCTATATTTCATAGACCAATCTGCACTCAATTGGTAAAGTGGTCAACATCACGCAGGCCACCTTTACTTGCCAGGATTTTACCTGGTACCCACTTAAAGCTGGGTCGACCTGAGGGCCAAGTGAAAAAGTACAGCTGTTTGGATTTGAACCCACAACTTTTGGATTCGCAGGCGAGCGTCTAGCCGCTACACCATGGCGGTTCCCGGGAATGGTAGAGGGAACAATATATATGTGAAAACTACATATGATATAGTATATGAGAGACAGAACTATTATAAGATAGCATATATTAATACAGGAGACAGCGTATCATGGACCGAATGTGTGTGATGTGGAGAACTACCACTTAGGGTCAGTACATGAGAGGGAATTAATTTGTAAGGGATAGTAGTGTAGTGATAACTGCATACTACACTTGAGATCTACAGCAGTGAAGTGTGATATAAATGGCACACAAATAGCACAGTAATATACAAAAGAAAATTATGTAGTATAGAGCTCTAGAAGAAATAATTATATGAGTATATGTCTTGTGCTTTCAAAATTTCAAATATGCAGTTTTTAAACATGCATTACTAATGAAACTGGATGGCCAGGACTGTAGCGAATAATGTCTAAACCTTGATACACATACGACACTGAAATATAACTCAACACATAGTACACTATGATGTACCACATATACAAAATGGGACCTGTTATGGATTATAATATGAGCTTACAAGAGACGATTGTGCCAAAAATTAGTTTCTTTCCTTTATCACAGCATGCTGATACGTGATATCTTTTTATACATCTGTGAAAACATATGTCGATACATTCTCTAGATAGCCAACCAAAAAATGGTCTGCACGCTACCAAACATGCAGATACAGTTAGCTAAAGAAGTTAACAGACATATACAGAAGTCTGAAAACCTCCTCCACCATGCGTATAGTACTTACTTCAAATACCTCTCCACACTGCCAACCATACACAGGATCTCTATTAAAAATAAACAATAGCACTTTGGCGTATGGGACTTTACCTGCAACCTGCAGATGCTGGATTAGCAGATTAACTCTTTCATAACCTTCAACTATCAGAATTTGGATTTTAGCAAATAAACTCTTTCATGTGACATTTGACCTTTAACCACTAGAAACTGAATTTTAGCAAACACAAATCTTTCTGCACCACTCAGTCTCCACAGGATTTTTTGTCTAGCCAAAGACAATACTGTGTTTTTGCTGTCATCTACCAGAAATAGGTGTTGTATTAATCCCTTCTTCTTCTTGTTCTTCTGCGTTCGACATCAGTCTTGCTAACATTTAGTCCCGTCTGGGTCACAAATAGGATTGTGCGTTTTAGGTCGCCACTGGTCCGCCATAGCTTCTCTCGCAATGTGGATTCCCTGGGCCAGATCCACAGTCTTTGCTGGGAGAGCTAAAGGGCAGTACTGCAGTAGCCAATCCCTTGTATCTAAATTTTTAGTTTAAATACTTCTATCCAACAGTGTCCCTGTTCAACTCCTTCACACATAAGTAGTTTTTCCTTTTCAAATCACCTTCTTAAGAAGGGCACAGCTGAGGTAATAACTGCATAGGACAGACACAGCTAAGTAAAGCTTTTATAAAAACAAAGAAAAATTAGGACAATTTAAAAAAAACAACGTTCCTCTCGAGAAAATACTTTACCTTCTTTCCGTTTACTTGCAGCTTTGTACACTAAGGGAGGGACAACATAACGTGGAGTGGGTTAGCAAACCAAACATAACAGCAAATGAGTTAAAATGTCTTTTATGGGCAACGGATAAATAATAGAGCAACTAATCGATAACACAAACAGAAATTATAATGAACGTAAATAATGCACTACCATTGCCAAATTAATTTTTAAAATATGGAAACCATCAACCAATTATGTCTAGCATGTCTGCAATATCTCCACCATGTTACTTTTGAAAATACTCTATTTAAACATTCTTCTGATCTAAGACTTATTATTAACATCCTGTTGTGCTGTTACATGTCCCATAGGGCTTGCAATCTAGCCCTCTATTAAACTCTGTCATGTGCAATCCTCTTGATATCATAGATGGAATCCAGTGCAGCGCCTTTGACCTCTCTCATTAACATCATTTCAGGGTTCCCTTGGACTTCCGCACTACCTCGATCTATTTGTTTCTCATTCAGTGCCTATCATACTTTATCATCTGTCGTCCCGATACAAGACGACATTTTCGTTATTTTAAATCCCACCCCGGTTGTAGTCGGGGACCTTAATAAAACCTAACGGCTGAATTGGGTTTCTGGGACCTCTTCCCGAGTGATCCTCATCCGTAAAGTGGTACTTTGTGTCACCGGGTGTTTTTCGTTTGGGGGATGTCCTGGCGAGGCTGAATCTCATTCATTTATTCAGTGCCGTTTTGTGATTCTGTCCTTTTCTTTTCTATCATCTTCTTTGTCTTACAACTGATAATACAAGAGTTGTCCAGACATTTCATGTTCTTCACCTTTCGTTGAATTCATCCTACTGAATGTTTATCAATTTCCGTAGGCGATTGTTTTCAAATGCATTTAACACCTTCATGCTATGTCCTTAGTAATCTAAAGTTTTGAAAATCTGAATTAAAAAAAAAGTGTGTAAAAAAAACCCCCAAAAGACAAAAGCAAGGTAACAATATAACAAAGAAATAGGTAATTAAGCTGGAATCAGGGGCAAAGAAGCAAATATAAAGAAGAAGAAACTGGTGAACACAACCAAATATGCACAACATCTTAAATGAAAACAGAGGATGGTATGGGGGTGGGGGGGGGGGGGATGTGGCATCTACAGGCTTTTGTTCTTTGCTGAGTTAGAAGGAGTCCATCTGAAACCAGTGTCAGCTTCATTTCCTGCCAGCTTCTTATTATCCTCCATCATTATCAATGTGATGCAGATGGGTATCTTTCATCCTTACTATCATCATCCTGCACCTGAAGGGAAGTCCTTTGCAAGATCCCGCTTGCCACAACCTACTGGAACATGTTCCATCCTTTGCCAATCCATGTGCTCCCAGTATTTTCGTGGCCAGGGTATATATAAAGTCCTGTGTTTGTCGACCCCTGGCCTTTTCAGGAACCAATTGTTAGATTACTGCTCTTATAAACTAGTTATTCAATCAATCAATCAGCAGGTCCTTTATCACAAGTTGCTCTCCTCATGGCACACATGAAATTATCTCTCTCTTCCTAGTCAGTTTTTTAGCTGTGTGTGCTTTCACTGCCAATTCACCTTCAATGTTCTGTTACAACATTCGTGGAGGTCTGCCTCTACTTCCTTTTCTAAAAATTGTTTCCTAGTTATTAGCAAAACTAATTTAGCTTTCTCATTTCTTGATGATCATACACCAGGGAAGACATTTAGTCTGACGTGGCCTACCATCTTCTTCATGGTTAATGCTAAATTATAAACCTTCACTATGTTTAACATGTTTTCTTAACATGTCTTTATCCCTTTATTGGGTATTGCCCCAAAAAATCTAAAACTGGTAAATTTATGACTTTTGTAAAGGCTGATGTTAAAAGTGTACAAGATCGACTTTATTCCATTAGGGTTTTATTACATATGGCTTGTTCTCTCTCTTTGTAATGCCGTGATCGATCCCAACTGCGGGCCATGCGCCTTGCATTGGTCGTATCAAGAAAGCTGACCGCCCAGAAAGCAATGGCAAACTACTAGACGTAAATTTGCCTAGAAAAACCACACAACAGCCAGGGGCTGTTGGGATTGGTTCTGCAAAGGATCCGCAACCAACGCTCTCTCTCGGCAGAACAGCTAGCTGCCTGCCGAAAGCATAAAGCAAGAACCCCTAGCTCCAGTGATGAATCCCAGGCATCTTCATTAAAACTACACCTATGTAGTAAACTTACTGGTAAGTCTGGTGTGCAAGACAACTGCCTAACCTCTTAATTTGCGGAGAAACCCCATTTCATAATTGCAAACTAATGAAACTACATTCCCCTTATCAATACTGCCCCATAAGCCCAGGCTGTCAGGAGTGTTGTAAAGTTTCATGTCAGAAATATTTTAAATTGAGAATAGAAAGCGGAGCCGAGCTAGAAGGCACTTTAGTTGTTCCCTATATCTGTGCAGGTGTGTGAGAAAGTGGGACTGACTTAAGAGTCTTAAAAACTTACCATTGATCTTTCTTCGATCTATAAATGAAAGAAAATTATATCTCTTAACATCAATTCCAGAGACTAATTATTTAAATATTATACATTATGTCTGGAGATTTTTACAAAGATTTATGTCATTTTTTTTAAAAGGGTTAATATGTAAGGATCTGGCTAAGAGAGAGAAAGCTTGCTGCTTTGAGGGTTAAAATAAAAGAGAGTCAAGGGCTAAAGAATGGAAACTTGAAAGAAATTACTGCTGAAATCAAATGCACCAGCCACTTTATGTTCCTCATGTGGTAGGAAATAAAGAATAAGACCCCTAACAAGCAAGTCCTAAAAGGCAACTAATTAGGGGTTTGTCAAAATTGCAGGTGCTGAGTCAAAAGGCAGGGATACTGCAGCTCAGCTGTAAATCACCACACAGCTTTTATAAGGCTGACCGCATAAGAAAAAGAATAATCCTGATAAAAGAGTGCTTTATGATGTAGACTGTTCAATTTCAGTAACAAGATATAAGCCAAGACAAAATATGATTAATGTAGATTATTAGTCTCAGACAAACAATTGAATTTAATCAAAATATTTTATTTGCACCCCAATATTACCCAAACAGGCTGGATAACCAAGGGCAACGCTCACTAGTGAGTGAACTATCTTCCCCAATGTGGGTTCCAGGCCGCTATGTGGGGGTGTGTACAGACTCACTGTTCCCTAACAACCATGTCGTAAAAGCTGACTAACTAGCAGTCTGCTAAACTAGGACTAGGTGGGCAAATGGTGCAGATATTGCAGCCTAGCTGTAAACCACAAAACTGTATACCAACTTTCTTCTGAGGGGGAATGCAGAAGAAGAAGAAGAACAACTGAACTGAACTATCTAGTATTCTTGTGGTGTGCTAAAACATTTAACAACCCCAGTCCCATGTCCACTAATACTGTAGTTCATGAAATACATCATATGTGCTAATGCTTCTATCATCAATCTGCTGCTCTGAACTGTCCAGACAATTCAATACCATGCATCAACATGCTGTTATCCATGCCACATAAACACAACGTCTTCACAATTGTCAAACTCGGGTATTAGGAAGCAAGGTCTTCTTCACTAATTAAACATCAACCAAGACAAAGCCAATCTACTTTCCAACATAAAAATGCATTCTGGGCACAAGGGTTAAGCCAAACACAAGAATCACAGCTACTGAGTTAAATTTAAATAACCAAAACAGAGAATGTTAATTTTAAAAAATAAAACTGCAACATTTTTCAAAACATGCACCTGATGTTTGGAGTAAGAGAATGTAAGTTATTCAACATTCCATCAACATCTGACAAGTTGGTTTCATTAACATCTAGAATTATTTATTTAGTCAACTAAATAATGAAAGATATAAATGTTCTGAGTCTTAAAAAATTTATTTTGTTTAAATTTAACTATCAGACATCTTAACAACACTTCCCCCCCCCCTCTCCAAGTGTTTATCAGGTGTAAAAAAAAAAAAACAGTAAAATTTACTTTATTTTAAAGTTGCAACATTTTGTTTAACTACTGAACATGAAAATGAGTAATCAGTGTTCAGTGAACAATTTATGTTTTGTAAACTGAATTGATATAAATGTTTGCTGAAGAATATTCAGTTACCTTATCATTTTTAATTAGTGTTTTACTTGAAAAACAAAATACTAAAACCTTATCAATGCGCTGGATGAGGGCTCTCTATAAACATGCACTACCCACCTTCTCTAAAACTCTGAGAAGCAAGAGAGTGCTGCCGAGTGTTGTTTTTACTGTCATGCCCATGGTTTCTCTTTGCGAAATTGGGCAACGAGGATGTTCTGTTGACAAAGTTAATCCCTGATTATAACATCATTCTCAGCAGTACAAGTTTCTACTGCAATATTTACAGCCAGTATGTGTTTTCCATGTTATCTGTCCTATGTATTTGCAACAACCTGCAGAAAAGTTGTCCACTTATTCAACTAGCAACTTTCTTCCAACAAACCAAATTTGCAAGCATTATTCTAAATTTTACATTAGGATTATTGTGAAATTAATAAATATGACAAAGTACACAATATCTGATTTACAGTTTTTAATCCTTTCACAATTAAAAGCTTACAAAAGGAGTTGGGGGGGGGGGGGGGGGGGGGGGGGGGGGGGGGGGGGGGGGGGGGGGGGGGGGGGGAGAAAGGAGGCATTGAACACAGTTATTCCTGGGGGAAGATTCTTAAATAAACAACCATTTTACACAGGTCACCAACCTGTGTTTGTAGTTTTATGTTGTTTTACAGACGAACATGAGAATACACTGAATAGATAAAAAGAGTAATGAAGATGTCTTGAAAGAAAGTGACTCATGAACAGAATTGATTTTCTACAGCAGAAAGAGACAATCTTCATTCTTTAGTCATGTGGTGAAAAGGAGAAAACTGGCATACAACGTGACGGTAGGAAAGTTGAAGGGAAGGAGAATGAACGAATAAACTTTATTTTCAAAGGGTCATAAACTGGGCACGCAGGCCCATCTTACATTCGGCCCTTCCAGACACCCGTCTTTCACACTGCAGCTGTATTTTATCAATAAGCATGTTATATTTATAGGACAAAATGCATTTTATGAATATTATAATACATATGAAAAACAAACACAAAAGCATGGGTAGTAAAATGCATGCACACACTAGCGCACGCACACACACACACACCAATTCACTTAAACACGCATATGTACACACCCACATACCTTCACACACATACATAAACACCTCCCATTCAACCAAATACATACCCACCTACCCACACAGACACACACATTTCACACACATACATACATACAGATATACACATGTACATACAGAGACACACCCACAGAAACAAATGCAGACATACATACATACACGCACAGACCCAAACACACACACATGCGACACACACAGAGGGAGACCAAGAGATAAGATGATGGACAGTTCAACATAATGACAAGGAGGATCATCTGTGTCAGAGTTGACAAAGTACATGAGACACAATGTTGTGGATAGACTAACTACACCATACGGCATTGACTTTAAGAAGGAGTGTGTGTGTGTGTGTGTGTGTGTGTGTAGAGGAAAATATGAAGGAGAGTAATAAATAAACACAAAAAGAGTGAAGATTTAACTGGATTTCTTTCCCTGAGTCTAACAGAAATGTATAGGTTGACTAATACTGTGTCCCCATGAAAATTCTAACACAAAGGCTACAAGCAAATTATGAAGTCAATTTCAACTATTATTCATATGATGGTTATTTTGTACATCTAATAAATTTAGGTTAAAAACATTTAGCATTCTTTAAGTTTAGGGTAAGGTATGCCATCCTAAGGGTACACAACAACTTGTGTACACAATACCTGGCAAATGGTGGCTCTGTTCTGCGAATGTTCCCACTGGCCTCATAAGCTTCATTCTGGCACCTCCCACTGGCAAAGACACACAATAATGTCAGGAGTTAGTCACTACACATGCAACAACAAGGAAACATGCCTGGGTGGACATATGATGATGACGCCAATGACTTTTATCCATAAGAAAAAATGCATACAATATCAAGCAGATGAAAATAAGAGTGCAGACAGAGTACAAGAATGAAATATTTTTTCTGACAAGGTGAAAAGAATAAAAACCAGTGTTTGAATCAGATGGAGAACAATAATTGATTTCACTGTCTGAATCAGATGGGGTAAAATAAAAGTTCATTACAAGATCAAATGTACATACATACATCCATTACTGATGTGTTTCATCAGAATGACTGTGAGGAGATTTGACTTGTATGGTAATGCCATCTCAGTTGTGGGTCAGAATCTAGATCACAGATTTGTTTTTTCTGCAGCATGTTGTAAGACAAAAAACTGCTATATTTGCTTTGAGCCGAGGATGTTACAACACTGAAGAAAGGGAACCTGTTATGCATCAATATATACCTAATCTAAGACTCCAGGCCGACACACTTTTTAAGTTGAGTTGAGTTGAGACACACTTTATCTCAGTCAATTGAAGTGTTGAGTTTTGAAAATGTACTGAAATGATTGAAGTGTACTGCATGGAAAGCATACAAAGATGAAAAAGTCAGCTGACATAAGGGGAAGAAATAAAGTCAAGTGACATTCTCTTCGATGTCAGCTGTTCTAGACTATTTAAGAATATAACTAAAATGCTATGGGTAATCTGTGTTTATATAAGGTAATATCTGTGTGTGAAGATACTAATCCCTCTGGACAGGTCGTTTTTGAACTCAGTAATGGTGCTGTATGATACTGTTTTACAAATGTCTCTGAAGCAAGACCTAATGACAGATCTCATTAAAACTGTATTTATATACTGCTAAGTGATTTACCTAAATCTGTGATTCATTTTGGATATATTTTATCAAGTCTCTCATGACGGTAAGTAGAAAAAACATGATTTCACTTGAACATTTCTAAACATGTTATCTGCTTACTACTATTTACCTACTAAGACAATTATTTGTCACAGCAATATTTTATCGGTAATCCTTCACATTCCCTGGTCACCTTGATGTATAATATTAGAAGCTAATTTGAAGCCTGTTCGCACCGAGCTGTGCGTAACTGCATGCATTGAACACAACCATATTATATTCATGTGAGAAGTACTGACCAATGAATAAAAGAGCACATGCTTATCAGGAAACAAAGAACAGATTCAATGCCTCCTAACAAGCATGTTGTGTCGACTAATTAGGGATGTTTCCTTTAAAGTCAGAATGCATCTGCCTAAGAAGCGAGGAACCAACTGTATGTTTATATATATATAAAAAAAAGCCAGGTCCGTAAAAAAGGATTAGTATACAAAACTTAGGTTCTGGAACAAGACTAGCGTCCAGAAGTGGACAAACTACCAGAATTTTCTTCGGGAGTTTACAGCTGATGAATGTGAAGAAAGATCAATCAAACATGCTGGTGACGTTGAAGGTGACTATGGGAGATCTTCCCGGGTGCTTGATTGAAAATTATTAACTAGTTGTCTGTGTTTAAATATGCACTTTGCTGTATGCTAAGGGTTCATATGATCTAAAACAATTAGTTAACACTGAGAATATATGATAATTTATGAATACTAGATTATTTTTTTTTATGTATTAAACATTTTTGGTTCTAATCACTTTTAGCAGCCTACAATGAGAGTGACTTCCCTTCCCATTGATGCCTCAATGTGGTGTAGCGCTTCCACTATGTCGCAGGTGGCATGACTGTATGCAATGTATAATAGAGGCTGCAAACAGTCGTGGGACTTTGACTGAGGCTATGGAGTAGAGGGGTTGGGTTAGGCCCAGTTGTACATGTTTTCGACCAATAAAAGCTCACAGCAAACAAAAATTAGTACAATATGACTCGCTACACCTGAATACCTTGCAACACAGTGCAAGCGCTACACTAGATCAAGGCATCCATGAACAGGGAAGTCACTCTCATTGTGGGCTGCTTATCACACAATGTACCCCCTTTTTTTTTAAAATTGCACTTTAAAATTGAGTTGTTTTTTTTTTTAAATGATATCAAAGACTATATAAATTTGTTCTGCACCAAACTAATGTTTGCACTTTAAAATTGAGTTTTTTTTTTTTTTTTTAAATGATATCAAAGACTATATAAATTTGTTCTGCCCATCTCTGAGGCTCCATGGAAAGCAAGTGGGTAATACTGATCTATATGGCTACTGACTGGTATGTTAAATTCTCAAATATACAACCGTCTTCTCAAATATACAACTGCCTAAATATATACCAACCACAACATGAGAGATGAAGAGCTGGAGCTGCAGTAGGTTAGATGATACAGGAAAGTTAGAACAATGGGATGTGATGCAAACAAATTCAGAGAAATGATGCAACACAATTAAAACAATGAAAAGTTACAGACAAAATATAATCTAGCTCACCTAAAACGAAATTTAGATCCTCGTGAAAATAGAGTTCCCCCAGACCTGATCTTGGGTGCTGCAGCAGACGATGACAACCTTAATGACAAAAGTTATTACTTTGTTTAAAAAAACTTATTACAATGTTGAGTATTTTCTCAAATTTCATCCCCAACAAACTGTATTTTTGCTAGAAATTTTGACAAATCTGATCATTAGAAATATAACGTTAGCAACATAAACCCATATAGTTTCGAGCAGTGGTTTAAAAATTTTTTTTTTTAGGTAGCACCAAACTTAACACAAACAAAATTTGATTAAAAAAAAATTAAATACTTATCAATGTTGAACTAAGAAACAACATCACAGTACTCTGGACACCCCCATAAGCACTCCGCCCGGTCCCCATCTTAAGCAGCAAGCGAAGAGTTCCAATTCTGATGGCATCAGTAACTGTCTGTATACTGGTCTTGCATTTCCTCTGAGTGTTCAGTGCCGGCCAGATCCCCTTGTATCTCCTTGCAGCGCCATCCTCCCCAGACTGTAATGACCTATCTGTGCCTCCTCACAGTTCAATCGCTCCTAAAGAGCCCTCACAACATTCAGCTTGTCATACATCAGTTCACCACCAAGCGATGCAAAATCGGCCAGTCTAACGGCTTGCTCATTTCCCAACACACCGGCATAATCTGGAGAAAATATCCAAGGGACGCCAACTACACAGGATTTCTGAAGTGATGCTTGCCTCTCTGCACGGAACAAGCCTGTCTCACCCTTTCTCAACATGCTCTGTGAGTCATTTATAATCATGGCACGTGTGTACAGCTGATTCCCAAGCCAGCAAAAGGCAGAAGTGTGCCTCAGCCTGCATTCTCAAACTAGATGTTGTGATATATATGCCAGGTTTTGCTGCACCAAGCGACGTCCATTTGTTTCTGCTATGAACCCCCAGACACGCATTATCCTACTAATTAAATTGTGAATGGTAGATGTACAAGCTGCTCAAGACAACAACAAAACACCCTTGTATATTTATTTTTAAACTAGTTTTAAAAAATTTATTTATATCAACAACAAAAAAATGTCTAAACAGATTACTAAAGGTTCAGATGCCCTCAATTTCAAAACTGCTTGATGCCACCTTGAAAAATCCCCCCCCCCCCCACCTTTACCACTCAAGTTGAAAATCACAGCTGCAAAGGTTTCTTTTTTTTGTGGCAGGCAGTTTAGGCATAAGCTGTTCACATGGCTTTCGAAAACAGTATTGACAGTATTCCCAGAGACAGCGGTGGATACACATGCCCGCTGCAGCTAACCACCAATGTGCAGAAGGCACACAACTGACTATTATCACACACACCCTTTATAGGTCATAGCATGAAAACTGAATCTTTACCTTTCAATCTTACAGTGTTCTACCAAGCAGTGAGTGTGAGAGATAAACACACCAATATGACCCTGGTAGTTACCCTCTTTTTCTCTATGTAACCACAGGTGTATGCAAGACAAGAAACAAATTCAATAGGCATTTCATGTCTGAAGCTGTACGGAGTAGTTCAAAGAAAAAAAAAAAACAGATTGAAGGATCCTTTTCCTGCCAGCGGTGCTTCATGCATATAATGCTAGGTCCCTTTTTCTATGAACTAAACATCACTCAATGGGCGATGTGGCCAGCCGCCTTTACTTCCCAGGATGTATGGAGTCAAATGCATATTCAACAAGTTTTGACGCCTGAAGCAGAAACAAAAATCAAATACTAACGTGAAGAAAAGCTGCTGCTCCACTGCACATCTCCATAAGTACTTGGCTGCAGGAGCTGTCAGACACTTGAAGCCAACTGCCTGGTGTTTCTGCTTAAATTATGTCAATAATCATAAACATATGGTAGTTTGTCTTATGTGATAAATCTGCATAAACATTTATTATAGCCAGTCATCTATGTCAAATTTGTATACACATCTGTATCATATACACATGTTAGGTTACTTATTAATTACACTGTCTATATTCTAACATCATCATGTGCCCTGCCAACAGCCATAGGCACTCATGCGTCTCCACAGATCATGATTCGTGGTTGCCTGGAACAGCTCTCTTGATGATATCCCTCCATGCCATCGTTTCCGCCCATCCAGCATCATCTTTCTTGGTATGCCTTTACCCATTTTCCCACTGATCTTTACAGTTGTCATGCTGTTCTCCAATGTCTCTCTTATTATTAAGTATGTGGCCAAAGAACCGGGTTTGTCTCTTTCTTATTATTGTATACAGAGATCTACTTTCATTAGCTTCTTTCAAGCAATCGTTGTTAGTTACTCTAGCTGTCCAAGGTATTTATAACATTTGTCCCAGAAACCACATCTCTGCTGCTTCCAAATGTTGTTTCTAAGATATGTGTTATAATGGAAACTATACAATCCTACTTTTTAAGATGTATTTCTCACAGGTAATTAACAATCCTGTTTAAATATATCATATTCATGTCTAAGAAAGTTGTAAAATGTCCCATTCTGAGTAGTAATGAAAAAGATGGCAGCGTGATAAAAACACCAGCTGTTCACTGAGTTGTATGGAAGTGACAAGGTACAATACGAATCAGTAGTGCCACACAACATTTATGCATGCCTATGTGCAAACTGTATCAAAGATAAATGTGACACAACAGTAGTTATGTGCTCTGTGAGAAGTAAAACAAGGATTCAAATATCTACAACTGGAAATATAAATCCTCATCATGCAGCAGGTCCTTTGCAGAACATCGCTCTCATCACAGCCTGCCTTTTCTCCATGTGGGTTGTGTGGCCTCATTGTGGGGAAAAACAAGAAAAGATCAACTGCCTCCCCAACAAGCATGTTGTGAGAGTCGACTTGTTGGGGGCTTCCTTCAAAGTCGAAATACATCTGCCTAGCAGCAACAAACAACCAACTGCACACAAAAATACATCTGCCTAGCAGCAAGGAACAGCCAACTGCACACAAATACATCTACCTAGCAGCAAGGAACAACCAACTGCACACAAATACATCTGCCTAGCAGCAAGGAACAACCAACTGCACACAAATACATCTGCCTAGCAGCAAGGAACAACCAACTGCACACAAATACATCTGCCTAGCAGCAAGAAACAACCAACTGCACACAAATACATCTGCCTAGCAGCAAGGAACAACCAACTGCACACAAATACATCTGCCTAGCAGCAAGGAACAGCCAACTGCACACAAATACATCTGCCTAGCAGCAAGGAACAGCCAACTGCACACAAATACATCTGCCTAGCAGCAAGGAACAGCCAACTGCACACAAATACATCTGCCTAGCAGCAAGGAACAACCAACTGCACACAAATACATCTGCCTAGCAGCAAGGAACAACCAACTGCACACAAATACATCTGCCTAGCAGCAAGGAACAGCCAACTGCACACAAATACATCTGCCTAGCAGCAAGGAACAGCCAACTGCACACAAATACATCTGCCTAGCAGCAAGGAACAACCAACTGCACACAAATACATCTGCCTAGCAGCAAGGAACAACCAACTGCACACAAATACGCCAGTAAAATGGCTGTACAGGCAAAACTCAGGCCCTGGCAAAAAGCCAAACCAAAGTTCAGATGCACGAATGATCAAGACTTTCTGCTGGAACTTACAGCCGATAAACAAGAAAAAGAAGCCTACGAGAAAGAAACTCTGTCTCCCACCAGGTCTCTGACCCAGTCTCCTTGATGCTCAGATCTTTTGTCAGTATTTCCCTTTTCCCCCCTTGGTCCATGGCATTTTGTAAATTTGTCTACAAATTCCTCAATTCCTTCCATGATGCGACTCTCGTACCACTGTCTGAAAACCACAGAAACTGTTTTTCTAAACCGCCCAGTGCGGGCATTGAACCCTGGTAAATGTTGAGGACTGCAGAGTGAAACCAGTTCATTACCTTCTATGCTTCAGGGCTGCAAACCAAAAAGCCTTCAAAATACACAACAAACATTTGTGGACAATGGGTTTATGCACATAAATGTTTACATTGACAACAGCCAAGAAATAGCAAAGACATAGTTTACTAATGAGAACGAGGAAATGTGCGAAGTACAAAGGCAGTTCTCTTTACATACATGAAGAGCGTGTTTAGCATGGCTGCATTACACATTGTGTGATGTGTGTTCTGTTCTACTTTAAAACTCCTGAGATTTTACATTTATTTACCACCCACTCCCACCGAAAAAAACACAACCTAGTATATTCTTAAAACTCAAATTATTTTGGTAAGGTAGCATTTATTTCTCAGTCCAGAAACTTTCCTGATAAATTAAGAGGAATTTAACGCTCCGAATACTGGACTAATCAATATATATCTGAACGAGTGAGCCGCTGTTGAAGAGCTAGCACCCAGGCTAACCTACTAATATGCACATTTACAGTGTGTGTACGTATGCATGTAATTATGTTACAATCAGAACACTGACGCCTTTACATTCAAGAGTACGGAATAATACAATATGGCTGAAAAATACCATATTATTAGCAAGCTAAATAGAATTTGACTGAACAATGGAAAAAATACCATATTATTAACATCATCAGTTCTCATTATGCCTAGTGGCACGTGAGGCTTCAGAGAGGACTTTCCATGCTTTCCTGTCCTGTGCAATCTTCAGTGCAGTTTTCCATGTCAAAGATGCTGCACTCAGGTCACTTTCCATTGTTCGTCTCCATGTTGTTTTTGGGCACCCCTGTTTTCTCTTTCCTTCTGGTGTCCATGTAAGAGCTGTTTTGGCAGGTATATCAGAAGTCATTCTCATAACGTAGCCAAGCCATTTCCATCTTCTCTTGGTAATCATACTGTCTAAAGTTTCTTGGTTTGTGGCTTGAAGTAGTTTAGTGTTTGAGATTGTATCTGGCCAGAAAATTTTGATAATTCTACGTAGACATGTGTGGTGGAAGGTGGACAGCTTGTGTGCATTCTTTTTGATCATTCTCCAGCATTCCGCTCCATAAAAAAGAACTGGCAAAATGATGCTCTTGTAGAGTCGGAGTTTTGTTCCTCTGCAGTAATTGTTGGATTTCCAGATTTGCCTCATCCTTCCAAAAGCAGCTCTAGCTTTGTTCAGGCGTGACTGTATGTCTTCCTCTGTCCCTCCCAGTAGGGACACCACACTGCCAAGATATGTGAAATGTTTTACATTTTCAAGTGATTGGTTACTTATGGTCACTGGTTGTTGGTTTGGACTGTTTGTCATGATCTTAGTTTTCTTTGTATTTATTCTCAGTCCAACCATTTCTGCTGTGCAGTGTAATCTGTTACTTTTCTCTTGTATATGTTCATGTTTATGTGATAGGAGTGCTATATCCTCTGCAAAATCAAGGTCCTCAAGCATGGTGAATGGAGTCCATCGTATGCCTCTTCATGTCCTGTCTACTGTGTTCTTTAGTATCCAATCAATCACAAGGTTGAAGAGGAGAGATGACATAACACATCCCTGTCTTACACCCGTCTTTACTGGGAAAGATGTATTGTAATTTTTTTATACTGCAGGAAAAGTCTTTATAGAAGAGAGCAATTATGTTGACTATTTTTTCTGGAATTCCATAATGTCGTAAAATTTTCCACAGACCGTCTCTATGGACGCTGTCAAAAGCTTTCTCAAAGTCCACAAAATTAATATATATATACTTCTCTGCCATTCGTTGCATTGTTCTAAAATGTTACGTATGGCGAAGATGTGCTCAGTTGTTCCTCTGCCCTTTCTGAATCCTGCTTGTTCCACTTGTAGGCAATTATCTACTCCTTTTTCAAGCCGCATTATGATGATTTTACAAAATATTTTGCTTGGTACTGAGAGTAGAGTAATTCCCCTCCAATTATTGCAGTCTGTTAAGTCTCCTTTTTTGGGGATTTTGACTATTGTTCCTTCAGTCCAGTCATCAGGCAACACTTCTTTTTCCCAAATATCCTTGAACAATGGTTCTAGAATGCTAGCAGTTGTGTTGGGATCTACTTTGAGAAGTTCTGCTGGCAGTTCATCTTTGCCTGGTGCTTTGTTGTTCTTTAAAATGTGGATAGCTTTAAGGATTTCTTGTTTGCTTGGTGGTTCAGTAATAATGTCAATGTCCTGAGAGGCTGGTTGAATATCTGGGGGATTTTCAGGATCAGGTCTGTTCAAGAGGTCGGAGAAGTGTTTAGTCCACTGCATGTCTTGTTTTTGTTCTGTGGTGAGCAGTCTGCCTTGGTTATCTCTGATGGGTATGCTGTGATAATTGTTCAAAAATAAAAAAAAAAGGGGGAGGGAGGGAGGGAGGGATAGAGAGAGAGAGAGAGAGAGAGAGAGAGAGAGAGAGAGAGAGAGAGACTTTGAGGTGTACAGTATACAGCACAAAATTTAATATATATGTGACATCTTTCTTTGACCTCCCATTTAAGTTACTGAATAATAAATAATAAAACTTAAAAATGTTTTAACAATTTCAAGTCCACAAGAAACATTTAGTTATTTTTTAAGAAATGATTCAAAATGCATTATTAGACTTTAAATACAATACTAATAAGTATATCTGTTAACAAACAAGTGTACCCTTTACAAAAAGGAAAAGGTTTATGGGCAACATTAATTTGTACTGCGCAAAAATAGTTTCAAAGCATTTCAAGCCATAAACAAATTACTTCAGACACAAAATATCCAAAATGCATGTTAATGTCACATCATGATATATTACAACTTTTAAACTCAGGAAAAGATTATTTCATAACTAGTCTGTTCAAGAACAGAGAATTACCAACTAGTGATAAGGAAAATAATCTAATCAAGCAAGATTTAGAAACTGCGTACTAAATAATAACATTAAAAATATTT